CCAACACCACACCACTAACACAGCACAGCGACCACCACACCACTAACACAGCACTACTACCACGTTGGTTCCAGGTGGGAGTTACTGTGGCCACTTTTGCTTGCGCGGGAGTGCATTCCCTTAAGGGTTGCGAATCTCTCCAGATCTAACATGAGATACCTTTACATATTACTTTTCATTGAGCGGCCTGCGCGGGCCACAGTAACTCCCATCCCACCGCGCGACGAGCCGCACTAACACCCAACGGGCCACACTAACACCCAACGGGCCACAGTAACAACCGGTCGCCAGACGGAGGGATGCGCTTTTCAGGACGAATTCGCATCTTCTGTCTTCTGGCTTGTTCTCTTCCTCCTCCTGCTCCTTTTCCTCCTTCTCCTCCTCTCCCTCGGCTGAGTGATCGTCTGTCCCACACGCTGGTGAGGAAGGAAACGGCTTGCACCTGCGACCGCTTTCTCGTTTGTGGCGTGCATCCCCAGCCATATCAAGATGTCTTCGGACCTGGCCTTCGGTGCCAGGCGGCATCCAGGTTCTGACGCTGGCAGTTGAAACATATTGTCTGCTCCCCGCTGGCTGTTGAAGCATACTGTCTGCTCCGATCTTCCCCCTCAAAACAAATTCCTCGTCAGAGTGAGGGGGCCGAGCAGTCTTACTCTGTCCCTCGTTGCGTGGCTGAGGTTCCACCGTTCGGATATGTGTTCTCTGTTGTCGTCGCCACACCCGCCGCGACCAACCCCGCGACCGCCCCCGCGACACATTCCGCATCACACCCGCGACTCACCCACCTCGCGACCCACCCGCGATCGACCCGCGACCCACCCGGCCGCCCACCCCGCGACCCGCCCTGCTTTGACAAAAATCCTCGCCTGCGGCGGCTCGCTCTGGCAGTGGTTTTGACCCTTGGCGCCTGCGGCCTGCCTCGGAGCGTGTTGACACCCCACGCCGCTGCACTCATGTCAGGAGCAGAGGGGGAGGAGGATGAGGAGGAGGAGGAGGAGGAGGAGGAGGAGGAGGAGGAGGAGGAGGAGGAGGAGGAGGAGGTGGAGCCGTCGTCTCGCACTCGCGCCCTTCCTGCCCGCCGCTCTCTGTCTCCAGTGGTGTTCTTCGCACCTGCCGGGTCGACGAGCGAGGAGGCGTCGGGCGAGCGCCCGGCGGGCTCCCAGAGCGATGCTGACACAGGTCGTGGTGTGCCCCTGGTCTTAAGCCGGGCCTGTCCCTCTACAGGGAGAATGTTCAAAAATAATCAAAAAATAGTATGGGGACGATTGTTCAGCATTTTTGTTTGGGAGTGCTTTTGAGTATCTTGAATTTTCCGCCCAGAACCCGCCTGTAGGGTGACATGCCCGACCTAACCCTGGTCCCGTGGATCGCCCAGGAGACACCATTCAACCTTCGCCTTCGCTTCCAGACCAAACCCGTCCATATCAACAAGCTTTGGCACACATCGCTTCATCTGGGGCCCCCCTTGGTGTGGATTGTTGCCCCCCCCCCCTTCCCACTCCCTCCCCCCCCAAAAAAACGAGGGTCGAGGTGAGTTGCGTCTCAGTCATGCCCCTCCCCGAGTGGCCAATTGCTTTTGGT